AAAGAAAACAAGAAAAAGATTAAGAATAGAGAAAAGCGTTATGGATCGTGTAATAAATATAGCTCCTGGGTTCTTACTTAGAATTAAAAAAATTAATATATACTTGAGGAGGTAGACCAAAAGAAGTTGAAAAGGCTTGAGATTAATGTAGGGAGAATTGAANTTGAGGAGGTAGACCAAAAGAAGTTGAAAACGCTTGAGATTAATGTAGGGAGAATTGAATTGAAACTTAACTTTTGAAGGTGTTTACAGCTTGTCCCTTAAAGAAAGATTTTAATTAAAAATTTAGAATGAACTTTAAAGCTTTTTCTATGATACATTTCTTTGAATGTCTTACATTTTCTGAATTCAAATATATGGAGTAGAAATACTGTAATATTTTCATTACAAAAATGCCGTAACGACATAAAAAATCAAATAAATTTTGTTTTAGAAAACTGTTTTGCAAAAAATTGTATTTTATAACTATTTATATTTTGCGTATGCTTTAAAAGCGAATCGTTTGTGAACTAAAAAAAACTTTTAAATAAGCTTACTTCAAAAGTCAAGCACATAATGAGACGAAGCGAGATGTTGCAGGTTTTATATGGAGATATATTCACAAAAAGTTAAAAAATAGAGCAATATGATAATATGCAAATCACAAACTATCAAAAACTAATTTTGCAAATAACTATGCAAAAAATTTGCCTTGAAAGGAATGTGGAGACCTTATTTTTCATCATTTTATATCATTTACATCATTCGTAAAGTCACCCACTATTTATTTGAATAAATTTGCTATACAATTTTGCAAGGCGAAAATTAGCTCAATATCATATCAAAGCGTCATCGTTGTTTTTTATCAGCGTGTGAATCGTTGTCACAGTTGGGAATGCACTGCTGAAATATTCGAAAACAATAACACGCCAGCAACTGATTAATACCAAATTTGAATTGTTTTGCTTTTCGGCTATGTGCGACCTACGATAAAACAATCTATAGATACGATTAATATTAGTAGGTACATATACATGCATATGTAGGTGTGTATGTATACATACAAACCCAAGAGGGTGTGAGTGATGTACTGGCAGAAGATTCGACCTTCAGAGTCTTTTTTTTATTATTTTTACAAAATCGCTGCAGTTATGTATTTTTTATACATAGTTATGGTTTAAATTATCATTCGAATTCAAATTTTCAAATTACAAATACAATTTTATTTTGCATTTTTATGTCACTATCGCACCCGCATCATTTTGACTATAAATTTGTCCGCAGTTGCAATGGAAACAACAGAAAGCAGCTGACTTCCAAACTAAGACCAAAGTAATCCAATCTCCGAAAATGCGTCAATTTTTGGTAAGATATTCTACATATACTTTGTTACTGTTCAATTTTAACAAACTCTTAAACGTTTTTTTTCTTTTAAAGATCCTGTGTTCGGTCATCTCTGCAACCTATGCGGCCAGTCTGGGCTACAACTATGAGAGCAACAACGGCCCTGCGCTGGGTGGCGGTCTAAGTAGTGGCCAAATTGGTGGTCCAAGTTACGGTGGTTTAGCTGCCGCTGGTCCAAGTTACAGTGGCCCCTCTTCCTACGGTCCTAGTTATAGTGGCCCTGCTTCAGCTGGGCCCAGCTCCAATGCTCCAGCAGAGGTCAACAAAGAATATTTCATCTATACCGCACCGGAACATGAATTTGATGATGCTGGCAATAATGATCAGTTGGCTAACTCACTAAAGAAGAATTTGCGTGTCATCTTCATCAAGGGACCTGAAAACACAGGACTCGAGAATGCTGCTTTGCAACTGGCTAAATCGGTCGGTGATGATCGCACCGCCATCTATGTGCTGAACAAACAAGCGGACATCGGCGATTTGGCCAACAAATTGCAATCTCTCAACCACCAAAACGCCAACAAACCCGAGGTGCACTTCGTTAAGTACAGGACCCCAGCTGATGCGGAGAATGCCCAGCATGCCATCCAGGCCCAATACGACGGTTTGGGCGGTCCCTCCAGCAGTCACAATGGCGGCGTTGCTCCAGTGTTGAACTATGCATCGAAGTCGCCTGCACCAGTTGCCCAGCAGCAGCATAGTGGCGGACCAATCAGCAGCATCGGTAGTTCCTACTTGCCACCAATCAGCAGCATCGCTAGTTCCTACTTGCCACCAACTAAGCGCGTATAAATCGGTTGGGCTTTGGTGGATGAATAAAACAACCGTTGCCGAGGAGGTGATTTGTTAAAAACTAGTCTTTAAGTATAGTAGTTCATGTACGAATGTTAGTATAAATTGTATAGCAAAAATTAGAAAATAAATGTTGATAGTATACAAAAATTTAGCTGCTTTGAATTTAATAAAGAAATTAAAGTGAATTTGAAAAATAAATCGACGTGACCCAAGAAATACATATGAAGATATTCTTGTAATCGGGATGCCAAAATACACCAGACACACGTTTCAAGCCCCTTGAATTTTTGAAAGAGTTCAAAATTGTCGTACCAAATGGGCCATTCCATTGTGACTGGTGTGACATTTTACTCCAGAAAGTAATCAGTTGTTAGTTATAACTATGTCGTCGGAACTTATACTACAGTGAAAGATATTTTGTGGCATAAAATTGCTTTAACTAAAACACCAAACCATTTCTTAGTTCTATGTAACGATCATTTGAATGAGTGTAACTGGTGGGACTCTGAAAAGAACTCTATTTAACCTAAGTGCACTCAAAAACGAAAACATAGAATTTTCGCGAAAGAAGTTTTTGAGTTGTAAAATATGAGCTATATGCTTTCGTTTTCAAAAAAATTGGTTTATATAATATTCATAGAAATATTAAAAAATATTTAAATTTGTAGCTGGTGGGACATGTGACCTTGTGACTGGTGTAAAGTTATTATGCATGAAGTAAAAGTAGTAAAATTTCCATAGACAAACATTACAACTTATTTTTATTTGTTTAATATCCTCCAACTGATTATTGAAATGTAGTCATTTAGAAGAGGTTGCCACTGAAATAAAGATAATTTTGGCATTTTAAAAATTTGTCGTTTTCCTCTTTTACATGGAATTCCCCAAATTTTTATTTTTTTTCGATATGCTCGAAATTTTGATAGGTTTATTTCTAAATTTTTTGTCTAAAATAATTTTTTTATTAAATAAACTAGTAACAACAATATCTATAAACAATACAATAATACTACATTTACGACACCGAAAAAAAATCAACAATTATCCACCAAACAACCATTAATCAAATCAGCGCCACCAAACTAAACCAATTTATTCAAGAAGTTGATTCGTTCCGGTTTAATGATGAAAACAAATTGATTTATCGTGTAAGCCTTTTCAAATTGATCGCGCATTTGATAGAGCGCTCGTGCGGTTGATGGATTCCGGACATCTACAAATATTAAAAAAAAAAAACAATTATTTAATTTATAAACCTAAACATTCCGTCAACGTTACAGCCGCTTCAACAAACCTTTAGCCAGTTGCATTGGTATTATGTACGCGTTCTTCTGTGATTTCAAAATCAAAACATCGGTACTGTTCAGGCCATTTGGCAGTTCCAGCGCATTTGGATTGGAGAGTGGTGCGAGGCCAGGTGTTTCCAACGGTGCTTCGCCATTGGCCTCCAACAACGTGGAGGCTAAAATACGTGCCGCTTCTAATGTGAGATTTTGGCTAGGCGTCAGCAGAGTAGTTGTGGGCTCCTCGATCATAAGCAGCTGTGCGTTGGTAATAGGCGCAGCGGTTAGTTGCTTTTCATATTGTTGTTGTCTTTGTTGTTGCTGCAATGGCTGATGCTGCTGCTGCTGCTGTTGAGGCTGCGGCTGTTGCTGTTGTGGCTGACGTTGATATTTTGATTGCAATTGTGGTTGCGGTTGGGTGGCAGTGGCTGCTGAAAGTTCATCTACAAACGACCTAGGGAAAAGTTTCGGCAACGGCACCTGGTTAGCTTGTTGTGGCATGGAGTACAGGAATGGTGCGGAACCAGAAGCTGGTGCAGCATAAGAAGTGTACAGCGTTTTGCTGGCTTGTGGTACTGTGCTTAAATTTTTATTGCTAAACTGTGTCGCTGGTTGAGACATTTTGTTGACCAGCTGTGATTGATATGCCGGTTGTCTGACACTGTTTGAGTTGTAGTCAATCGATTTCTCAACTGGAAGAAATAAAATAAGATTCATTTAAATGCGTATTATTGTCTGCTTGTACTCAAAAAGAATGACAGCTAAATAACTAAACAAGTATTAAAAAAAAAACTTCAGACAAGCTTTTATTCGCGGTTAGTAACAAAAAATGACCCCCGACTCCCGCCTCACCTAATGGCAAAATTTTGTGCAGAGTTATTTCTTTCTATTTAAGTAATATGCTTACGTTGTAATATGAAAAAAAATCTAATCATAAATATGAATTTTTCAAATATCTCCTACACCCCCTACCGGACAAACTCTTTGTGGTGTTATTTCTATCCATTTGAGTAACATACTTTCTAATCTGAACAAAATCGGCCCATAAACATGAATTTTCAAAATATCGCGGCTCCTACGCCACCTATCGGGCAAAGTTTGTTGCGCAATTTTATAATATAATATAAAATTATAAACTAGTGTTCGCCCAGCGGTTGAAATTCAACCGCTAAAATTAAGGATAGATTATGTGAGTTGAGTTGAGCTGAAATAACATTAGTTGGAATGGGTTAAGTGGAGGGGAGTTTAGCTTAGTACTTAGCATAACATAACATCCCATAACATAAGATTAAATAACATAACATATGTAGCATAACACACCACAATATAACATCGCACATTCTTCAGTTGTATTTCCTTTTTATCCCTATCACTTTCTTCCTCTCTATCTTCGTCTCTATCGCTTTTAATGTTAATGTTTATGTTTATCTTCACCTTTATGTTCATGTTCAAGTTCATGTTCATGTTCATGCTTATCTCCATCTTCATCTTCATCTTCGTTTATATTTAGGTTTCTTTACTTTTATTTTAATCTTTGCCTTTATCCCTTCCTTCTTCTACATATTCAACTTTACCTTCTTCCTTGCATGAATCTTAATCTTCATAAATCTGATTCCTAGGGGTGTAAGGAAAATATGATTGCCTATTTGTATATAAGATAAGATACCAAAAACCAAAAAACATATGGAAACATATTATATTGCTATATATTCGGGGTCTTCATCAAAAGTGATGAACTGATTTAATTATCATTTTATCTCGTTTATCGGAAGTTTATCAATATATATGAACGCCGCTATTATTTTATATTTCATTATATAAGATCAAAAATTTTGTTTATTTTGGTTCACTTTATGCCAAATGATATTGTCATGGATGCCACATCAAGTGATATCACGTCATGTGGTGAAATTGGGTGTGGTGAGTTGCGGTGTGGTGGAATTGGATGTGGGAGTTACGGTGTTGTGAATGCAGGTATGGTTAATTTAGTTGTGTGGAGTTGAGGTGTGGTGAATTAAGGTGTGGTGAATTAAGTGTGGTGGATTTAGGTGTGTGGGGTTAACGTATGGGGAGTTGAGGTGTGGTGAGTTAAGGTGTGGTGAGAAAGTTGAGGCGTGGTGAATTAAGGTGTAGTGAGTTAAGGTGTGGTGGATTTAGGTGTGGGGGGTTTAGGTATGGTGTGTTGAGGTGTGGCGAATTTAGGTGTGGAGAGTTAAGGTGTGGTGATCTCAGGTGGAGTAAGTTTTTAAGCGGTGGTGAGATGAGTTGAGGTGAGTTAGGTTAAGTTAAGGGGTTATGATCTTTATCCTTATCTTCATCTTCATCTTCGTTTTCATCTTCGTCTTCGTCTTCGTCTTCGTTTTCATCTTAGTCTTCGTCTTCGTCTTCGTCTTCGTCTTCGTCTTCATCTTCATCTTCATCTTCATCTTCATCTTCATCTTCATCTTCATCTTCATCTTCATCTTCATCTTCATCTTCATCTTCATCTTCATCTTCATCTTCATCTTCATCTTAATATAATATATATAATTGTTTATACCTTAGAGGTATAGTTTAGCCGCAAAAGGGGTGTAAAGGAAACATGATTGCCTATTTATATAATTGATATTTTATATTATTAATATGTATTCCAAATATGTAGCATACCGTATCATAAATAAATACGAGCGTTTTCTATATCTGGACACCTGCTCCGCCTAGCGGTCTCATTCATCTTCCATATTGCATAGCTCATCGGGGAGTCAGTTAAAAATGTCTTGTAAGATTTTATTACACACGGGAAAACATAGTAAAAGCTGTAAATCGTAATTATAACTAAATCTGACGCTGTCCTTTTGCCTCGGTTTATCAGTTGGATTACAACTTGTAGCGGACAGTAGGAGATATTGGACTTCAATTTCTGATAAATTCAAAATAACCCTAATGTGCGAAGCCTCGCCTAGGTTAGGGTGGTACATAAAGTGTCGTTTTTCACCTATGCATTTCCTTCAGAATTGTTTATTATTTGAAATGAGATTAAAACTAAGCTTTTCCGATGCCTGAAAGTCCTGGTATAAACTAGGGCCATGAAACAAGGAATGGTAAAGTGTCAAAAAATATTAAAAATTTTTAAAAGATCATAGTGGGTGATGGTAAGTATAAGCAAAAAATTTAAAAAATTAGAAAAAAATAAAAATTGCTGCGACTTTGATTGATTTGATTTAAAACACCTGGTCTATTGCTACAACCTTTAGGTCTTATTCAAGTGAATCGGAATGTATGCATTTCTGATGATGTCCGAAGGCCCTACCTCGCCGTTGAACTTCAAATTTTATTTTATCGAAAAGTAAATTTTCTGATATTTCACTTTCTTGACCTACTACTCTGCCATTTTTTCAGAAAATATGATCTGATTGGCCGCAGATGTTCGGAAATTAGCCACAAATGTGACTACATATACGCTTAACTCCAAAATCACCATTAGCATGCCCCTTTATGACTTTGAATCTCACAATTAAATGCCCTAATTTTTTCATAAAAAATTCAACTCTTGTCAAACTTAGCTTGGAGCTAAAATCACTTTCGGCGTTTTTATTGAAGCTGTTCACACCTTCCGGGTTATTAGGTTATCTGGTTAAAAATTATTATTCTGTAGTGTAATTTATTTTTGTAAAAAAAAATAAAAAAATATAACCACATAAGCTAATAAGCAGCCAAGTGTGATCAAACTTCATTATCATTCCTCAATTTGATTTGAAAAAAAAAATAATAATAATCTGCTTACCATAGCTCTCAGTTGTAGGAGGTGGTAGGTATTCATTATTCCTTTGCTGTGGTTTGATTGGATGATTTATACGCAAAGGCGACACAGTCGCCCCATTAATAAGCCATAAATTTTGGTAACACACGCACATAAATAACAGCAGTTTCACAAATTGAGCCTGAAAAACAGTTCAGTTTGGTTTGAATTCACATTTATCAGTTATTCTGTTCAAACATTTTATACCATGATCCCGTCAGATTTGTTAGGAGTTCCGTCGTCCGACTGTGTTACTTATTTTAATTTTACTTTTTTTTTTGTGCTAACTATTCGTAGTTCAATTGAACGTACACGATCCAACAAAGATTTTTACTAAACTAAATTCGCACAATTGCAAAGGTTTATAAATCAAAGTTATATCGTTGCGGCACTTCTTGTCAGTGGAACTGAGGCGAAGCGCATTTGCAAATAGACGATTGAGAAAAGTGATCTTCATCTGTCAATTAGATAGCGTTACCTTGTCTGCAACACTTGACTGGAGTTAAAACGGCAGCAGCCATAGTATTACAACAGTAACAAGAACTCAATAGCAGTGGCTGCGTTAATGGATCCGTTACTTGCACCAATGCAAATACAGCAATTCAACTGAACAAACCACTCAAACATAATTATAGATCAAGCAAGACAAAAAAAACCAGTAGCTGAAAGAAACAATCTAGCATCAAAAAAATAAATAAAAGTTGAGTTTTACGGCCCTGGCATCCATTCATGCCGTCGACCAACTGGCTCATCAATAAATAAAAGTACATCACCTACGAGTTGGCCAAGCGTACAACCAAACAACGGCAAACGAGGCAATTTACATTCGATCTTTTTATGGTCGATTAAATTATCAAGAGCAAAATCAAAAGCATCCCCACTTCTTAGAAGCAAGTTAAACTAAAACGGCGCGACGCAGCGGACTGTGCGAACGTTCATTGATCTCACTTCGAACACCGCGTACAACAACCGAGATAATTTAATTTGTGCATGCGTTTCTAACCGAAACAGTTTCTCAATTTACCAGTAGTCGACTGATCCACCAGCTAACACACTGGCCTAGTGTCGATGGGTGCTCTGGTTTGTAGTGCGCAAGCGTGAATGGCCCATAGAAATATTGCATTTCAAGTGCGCTGCTGTACAATTATGGGTTGTGTTTTGCTGCTCATTTTGATGACTAATCAGCCTGTATGAAAGCACTCAGCTAATGACAGCAGTTGCACGTTGTTAGTGACTTTCTGTTGGCATTGGATAATTTTGGTCTACTCAAATGACTTACACACTAAGTGCTGCGTTTAGGGCTGAAGATGAGTGGTCACTGACAATAAAACAACAACCAATACATATATCAGTTAGTAAATTTTTCAACTAACGAAATTGGAATTTAAATGCATTAGGGTTTTAGGACATCCAATAATTCCGGATTGTAAACCAAGGAATTTGATCTGTGGCGCTTCCTTGTCAAAAGGTAGGTTTACAACGAAAATTAGAATAATAGGATGATAACCACACCCATCGCGAAATATATTTACTACATCTGCCATAATACTTTGAGGTTAGTTCAGGACTATTTCGGGAACCTTCCCGGTCTGGTTCTGGCACCATTTCGGTACTAGTTCGGGACACACGTGTTTACATATCAAACTTCATGAGTACCTGCTATTCATGGCTCTTTTTCAGGATTTCACAGTTCTCATAATTGCAAATTTGTAAAGTCTAAACTAAAATTTGTTGATTATTCCTCAAAAAGTGTATTCGTGATACACTTGTGCAAATACTTTCAACTAAGATATCCAGCTCTAAAGTATTTAACAACTTTTTTCGTGACACAGCCTAATGTACATAAAGTGTACATTGCTCGAGTAACGAGTACGCAGAGACCGATTCCGCTCACCTCATAAATAACACTTAAACCAACAACCATTGCCAATCATTTTTTTAAGCACTGTGTTTGAAAGTAATAAATACATACCCTGCAGGGAGTGACGTTAGCTTATACCTAACTTTAGTCTGTTTACGCGAACACTAGTGCTAACTATTAACTGTGTATTTTGTTCGAAAAAAGCTAACTACTTTTGTGGGGCGATGTCCGCAAAAAAGTCAGACCTGGATACCTCTGCATTACATGTCACCTAACTTGTAACTAACTACTTTTGGACATAAAATATCAATAAGAAAAACAAAATATTTTTTTGTTTTTTTACTTTTTTATTTTCTTATTTATTTACTTTATTTTATTACATTTCATATTTGTTTACATATTCTACTCTGGGTAGCCCCATATTCGAACACCGTCAGACATAAATTCAAAATGATAGTATAAAATTTCGATCCTGAATATGAAAAAGAATCTGCGAAGTTCAGAAAAAAAGTGTATTGAAAGTAATTTTTGTATGAGGATATTTAATAGAAACTTGTAAAGAAAACCAACTCCCGATTGCGTCTGCATGACTCCTGCACGACTTTACAATTCACTTTAAGTTGGTTTTGTCATAGCTAATTAAAAGTGGGGTATTTATCGAAATCTCGCCAAAAAGCTAACTATAAGTTGGTTAGTTTTAACAATTGATAATTTTTCACTGCAGGGTACACATGTATGTATGCTGGTAAGGTTGTACTTACTCCGCTGAGGGAGCGTGCAACGAGCATTTTTTTTACATATATTTAGATCTCTTCATAATTTTGGCAATAACTCATCAATTCTTCAAACATAAAATTTCCATTGACTCACGTTAAAATTAAATGTATTTTTCTTTCCATTTAAGTTTTTAAAAATTTACGATGACCAGAAGTACATTTACGGTATTCGCAACATGTTGTAAGCGTCATAATATCGTAAAACTTTCCAATTAAATATAACGTGTAAAAATGTTGTAGGGGATTTGTTACTACGCAACAACGTTTTTGAACTGATAGAAAATATACCCTTATTATACCCGACGAATATCATCAAAGAACTAAAGACGTTATTTTACACTGAACAATTTCCCGATATTACGACGCCTACGGCGAGTTGTGAAATCACTAAATATTAGTTTTTTTTTTGATGTAGTACGATTCATTTGATTTTGAAAGGGCAACAAAATTCTAGTCAAAGTTTCTTGAGTGCGAATATTTTTATGAAGACAGGATATGTATGTAGATCACCTCAGAGTATATAAACACATTTTTGTATTCATTCATCCAGAGTATTTAAAGACCCATAAAATCTCATTAAAACAAACCATTGCCGCGAATTAAATTAAATCACCCGACATAATTACCATGTAAACAGGTTAAAAATACCCACTTTCAATTTTACACATCACTAAATATTTTGAAAGCACAGAAAATATGTATCAGGCAAAAGCAAAACTATGCATGTTTAATAGATATTGATATCAATATCAAAGCAGCTAATAATAATACAAAAAATTTATTTAAGTTATGCGCTATCAAAGAAGCGCCAACCGGCACTGTAGAGTCTACAGTGTAGACGATTTGACCGCTATTAGTGCCAAAATTAATTTAGTTAACCCAAAAAAAAAACTGGCAGCGAATTTCGCAAAAACAAACCTGATTTGAGAAATACTTTTTGTTTTTTAATGCTGCTAGTTTAGTAATACTCGATACTACTAATTATGTACTAAATGATAAAACATGTTTGTGAAAATGAAATTTGAATTTTTTAATCTGTCATGAGAAATGGCTCAGCGAGATGGTCTATAAATTGAAAATTCAAAGCCTGAAAGCGTCTTAGACAACAGTGAATTGGTGAAGTGATAAAGCGCGATAGTAATACATACCTAGATACAATTAAAAATGAAAGCGTTTTTGGTAAGTTGAAGGCTGCTGGTGAATAATTGTTCGAATACCAACATTTTAATTCAAAAAATATTGAGATATGTATTCTTATTCATTCATTTGAAAAATGTGTCACTGTGCTGAATTGCATTTTTGATTGAAATTTAAAATTGTTTTGTCAACGGCCACATTGCTTTCAACTATTAGTCAAACGATATCGGTATTCTCTATGTCTTGCAAAGCCCTTGCATGGCACACGGATTGCATAGTTTGCAAAGTGTTACCTAAGGAAACCCGGTTCTACCATCCAAACTGTGACCATGCAAGGGTTTTGCAAGACCTAGAGAATACCCTAATTTTGTTTTTACACGTAATGTATTTTACAGATTATCTTCAGTGTCTTGGCTTGCCTCTTTCTCCTGGTATCCGCAGCGCCAGCCGATCAACCCGGAGTACATTTTTTGAGTTACAGCAATGATCAGGATTTTGAGGCAATACAAAAACAAATCATCGGTAAGTTCACTTAGGTAATTGCCGGGAGTGCTTCTTATGATCTGAAAATTAATTGTTTAAGTTAATCAACAGTCTCTACTTAAATAGGCTATCTGAATTTAGACCTAAGAGTTGCTGAATTCTAAAGTAAAAAAAAACGTAAATGTGTATTTCGGAGTTGCCATTTGCCAAAGTAAATCAAATATCGGTAAATAAATTGATTTAAAGTTCCCAGGTAGTTTAGATATGCAAAATACTCCCACTAATGTATTTAGAACNCACTTAGGTAATTGCCGGGAGTGCTTCTTATGATCTGAAAATTAATTGTTGAAGTTAATAAAACAGTCTCTACTTAAATAGGCTATCTGAATTTAGACCTAAGAGTTGCTGAATTCTAAAGTTAAAAAAAAAACGTAAATATGTATTTCGGAGTTGCCATATGCCAAAGTAAATCAAACATCGGTAAATAATCTGATTTAAAGTGCCCAGGTAGTTTAGATATGCAAAATACTCCCATTTATGTTTTTAGAACGAGGAGTATATGGCTAAATATTTACTAACCAAATTCTTTACGATTTACCTCAACTCACCTTACCTCACATCAACTCAAATCTACTCAGTTCACCTCATATCAACACCACAACTCATATCAATTCACCCTAATTCAGCTAAGCGAATTTTATTTCCGAAAATCCGGAAATAGTCCGGGGAATCCCTAATACCACGAAACAGTCCCGAAAAACACGAGTACTCCCAAGAATACTGAAACATTCCCAAGTAAATAGTCCCGAAAATTCTGAAATTATTTATTTCTTTACTTGCATACTGACTAAGTAGCAAGTGGTTAGTATTTAATCATGTCACAAGTACTAAATAACTTCCCGGAAATTCTCTCGACGACGCACTGATTCCGTATAGAGCCTTGCTAAATTTCGGTAACTGAGATTTTCTCGACAGTGCTAAAACCAGGGACGTGAACCGGATGAAAAATTTGGTCGGTTCGGTTCAGCGGTTCGAACCGTCGTTGCACTTTTGGATTGTTTCGTCAAAGCGATTTTTTTTTTGGTCTTTGAACCGGGGTTTCGGTTCGGTTCAACGGTTCGAAAAACAACGCGCAAGGTTAAGGGTCAAGTGAGATGGGCTGCCTTTACATTTGATATTGTCACATGGTAAAAAACATGGTAGGTATTACCATGTTTAACAAAAAGAAAAAAATTGGGTACATTTATCTATTGAAAAGTGGTTGAAACGAACCTTTAAACCTTTAAAGAAAGTGGTTCGGTTTTCGGTTCGGATCAAACATTTGTGGAAAATTTCGGTTCGGTTAATGGTTCAGTTAATTAATAGAAAAAAGCGGTTTTCCGGTTCAAAACCGGTTCACATCCCTGGCTAAGACTGTTTCTGGTATGGAAACTCTGCTACAGATAATCTATTCCGGCGCTCCGGTTGCCTTGAAACAAGTGTATCTTCTTAGTGCCTGGACTGGCTCCAGAATAGTTATTTCTCTTTAAGATAAACACTTTTGGATTTGGGAAGATTTCCTTAGCTGAGATACCTTTTAGCAGTTCCTAGGCTGACAGTATGCTACAAAATCCTACCTGGGGTAACCAATTCTGTTGCTCGCAAGTTTTTTCTGACATGGGTTATCTTGATTTCGAGAAGGCAAGCTCTGGTAGTCATACAACAATAAACTATCAGGGCACTGGGTATTTTCTCCAAAGCTAAACTTTCTGTACCAGAGGTTAGACTGTCTGTTGTATACCAGAATCCATCAGAGATCTTCATTTCTGAAGTTGGAGAGCTTTTCTGGAAGAAAATTTTCTCTCTTAGTCTCCGGACTGCTTCTGGCACTCAACACCTTGAATTGTGCAACGGATCCTGGTGCTGGCTAGATATTCCTGACAATGATTTTCTTGTCACTTTTCGAAAAGGGTTTTTAGGTTGTTCTCTAGAATTACTGAAAATACCCAGTCTTATATTTTATATAAGGGACTGTATGGAAGCTTTAAATAGTACCTCGGCGACATCCATTTAAGAGAGTTTTTAAGTGATAGCCTGTACTTTTAGTGTATAGTACTTACAAACATTAAAATGTAAAAAAATGTGTTCAATGTGGACCAGCTGTTTTCGACATCTGCTGCTAATACATAGTGCCAGGAAGCGAGGTAGAAATTCTTGCTAATAGAAGAGGTTTTTGGTCACCTTATTGGTTTTTTTTTTTCAATGGACTTATTTTTATGCGTTTCGGGTCCCAAGATCGGACACCAAATTACTTAGTATGATACCATACTATAACTGAATTCTAGTTAACATGAACAAGAACTTTTTCGTGTATATGTCAGCTAATCGCTTTATCGTAATTCTCTTTACAGCTCAGTACGAAAATCTTGGAGGCAGTTCGCAATTCCATGAAGTGCAAAGTGCCAGCGTGGTTCATCCCAATACATTGAAAATCAATATATAAAAGCCAAACAAATAAGCAAAATTGTACGGTTGTGTTATAGCTCTATAAGAATTTTTATGTATACAAACGCATAAACATACGAGATAACGTGGCTATGTAGCAGAATTGTGAAAAATTTATATCGCTAGCTTAGAAAGAAAAGTTGCTAAGTCCCATTTTAAAAATTTTACAGGAGAGGAAAAAATCTTCCTATAGCCATTTTCTTTAACTATTTCGCAAGACTTTGAATCAAACATTTTGCGCGTTTAAAGCAAAGCAAAATCCATAAGAATCAGAAGGATTCGATATTTATTAAAAGACGTCGTATTATTTTGGCCTTATCGGATTGATGGTGCTTCTTTTGGACTTAGCAAATTTTCCTTTTATTGCTTATGAAGAGGAAAAAATAAAACAAGTACCTTTATAATTTTCGAAACGATGCGTATTCAATTTCTTTAGCCTCCTATATCAAAATATGAGTTTTCATAAAAAGTGGACTTAGCAACTTTTCACTCTAAGCTAGCGATATATTTTTTTAATGCATAGCATTGAAATGTTAATGTAAAAAATTAATGTATTTATTGCTAATGTTTTGTTTTTTTTTGCATTTGCAATAAAAAATTTTAGTCAATGCCATTGCAATAATTTATTGCATTAAAAGTATAACAAACATTACAAACCCATTAACCCGTTGAGGGTTGAGTTTTGTAGCCAAAAAGATGGTGTCGGAAATTAAGGCTCATAAAACATCTAGCAATGTTTACAAGAATTTTTCTACAAATAAATATAATAGAATAAAACTGAAAAAAGTATTAGTAATTATTCCAAGTCCTTCCCAAAAGAAATTATTTTTATTTCAGTAGAAAAAAATTTTAATAGTTTTTTTATAATGCAAAAAATTAAATAAAAATTTGAATGCATTACAATTTTTATCCCTAGCATTAGTTTGGATAATTTAATGAAAACAAATTTCATAAGAGTTGAATTTTTCAGAATTAATGCATTGACATTTTTTTGTATTAAATTTCAAAAATTATTGCATTAATTTTTTTCATTAACAATATTTCTTTAAGTAGGTTCCATCAGTGCATTAAAAAATTAATGCATTTTTCACAACTCGGCTATGTTGTAACTTTCTCTTTAATTTTACTTAGTTGCATGCTATCTGAAAGCAAACATGCTTTGTATTTTTTTGGAATATTCAAAATCTTGGAAGTGTCTTTAGCAAACCGCCATTTAGTAAAATAAAGCAAATGCAAAACAAAATCACTTCCTTGTAGAAAGCAAAATATGATTACATATAAAAAATAAACAGCAAAAACCAATAAACATAAAAAACCCCAAAATCTACATGTTGTTATTCCCTCGCACAAGCTAGAACTGCTTCCAGAAATATGTGAGCGAATGCAGGCAAAACATAATTTACTCAAAAGACGCATTTTCTGGCCGATAAGACAACAAGCTACAATCACGGATTTTGTACGCTGCGATCTTCAGTACATAACTAACTTCATAGTGGTGCGGTTTGCTTGTCATTAGGAAAGCGTTATTCAATTTTTAGTCGATTTCTGTACGCACAGCGAGCAGGCAATGTGCGTCAACATAGTAATTGCCTCACTGGCCATCGCTGTGACCCTATGCCTAGTGGAGGCACAAAAACTCTACACACCCGCTCAACTGCAGCAGCAACAACGCAACGATGATTTCGAGCAGCCTCCGAAGCGTGTCCCAGAATTCGAACTGGAAGTGAGACTAAATACAATGCCTATAAATTCTGAAGATCGACAACCAATTGTGTTGGTCAATTTGAATCGTGTTGAGCATGAAGATAGAATAATATTCACAAGCCAAGAAGAAGAACAGCAGAATGAAAATCTTAGACAAGAGTTCAATGAACGTGAACGTGTGCGCGACAACAATCGAGAGTTTGTTAACATGCCCGAGCGTGTAATTGAATTCAATCAAGAACGTGAACCATATCGTAGAGACCAAGAGAGAGGTCCGCCACCCAGGCAAGAATTCATAGCTGACATAGAAAGCAGACCCGATCGCAATAGCGGATTCAACCGCGCCCCAGATCGCGACAACGATCGAGAGTTTGTTAGCGAATCCGAGCGTGTAAGGGAATTCCATAGGGAGCAAGAACGTGAACCTTATCGTAGCGACCAAGAGAAAGATGCCTCTACTAGGGAAGAATTCAGTGCAAAGCCCGAAAGGAAACCTGATCGCAACAGCGGGTTTAATCGCGCCACAGAACAGAGTGTTCATCGCAATAATATATTTAAGCAAGAAGTTGACGTAGAGCGGAAACCGCAACGCATTATTCCACAAGGGCAAGAAGAGAAAAGTCATCGCCTCTGTGAAAGAAGTAAGTAAATGCAAAGTATGCGTAAAATCATGTTTTGTATGCTTTAGGTATACATACTTCTAATTTTATTAAAGAATATAATGAATATATTGCACGCATCTTTCGCAATGATGAGGAAATAACAGCAGATGCAAATGATTCAGAATTTGATGGTCGTGTATTGGCATCACCTGGAGAATACCCGCACATGGTAAGAAAAAAAGAGTACATATATTATTTTTAATCTTAATCTAAATTTGTATCTTAATCGCAATCTTAACTTAAATCTTAATCATAGTCTTATTCTTAATCTTAATATTGATCTTTCTCTTGAATGTAATCTTAATTTGAATCTTAATCGCAGTCTTATTCTTAATTTTATTGTTAATCTTAATCTTGCTCTCAAATCTTATCCTCATTTTAGAAAAAATGGTAATCTTGTTCTTCGCCTTATTCTTTATCCTAAGTCTAATCTTAATCCTTACCCTAATATTATTCTTAATCTTAATTTTAATTTTAACCTTAATCTTAGTTTTAATCTTAATCATAACCTTATTCTTAACCTTAATCTTACTCTTAATAATAATCTTATTCTTAATCTTAGTTTTAATCTTAATTTTGATCGCAATCGTAATATTTTTCTTAACCTTAATTTTAATCTTAGCCGTAATCTTATACCTAATATTAATTTGAATTTTATTATTACTTTTAATCTTAATCTTAATTTTAATCTTACCCATCCTCGTTTTAATCTTTATTTTACTCTTCATCTTAATCTTAATCTTAACCCCTACCTTAATCTTATTCTTAATTTCAATTCTAACTTTAAGTTTAATTTTAATTTTAATTTTAATTTGAATTTGACTTAATTTTAATTTTAATTTTAATTTGATTGACTATTTTAATTTTAATTTTAATTTTAATTTTAATTTTAATTTTAATTTTAATTTTAATTTAATTTTAATTTTAATTTTAATTTTAATTTTAATTTTAATTTAATTTTAATTTTAATTTTAATTTTAATTTTAATTTTAATATTAATCTTAATTTTAATTTTAGTTTCAATTTTCATTTTTATGTTAATCTTAATTTCAATCAATCTACACCGGCCGCCTCCCATCAGTTTATTCTGTAGTTTTTTCGCTTCGTTTGAGCTCAGCGTCAAGAAGTGTAACTTCAAAAAGCATACACTTGTTCCCATGTATATTCGTACATATGTATAGTAGTTTTTTACAGCAGTCACGAACAGGAATATTATCTTGTTACGGTCAAAAAAAGGTCACATTTCGCATTCAAATTACTTAATGGACAAACCATGTATTTCTTGAAATCGGTATTTCATGACTACTCATGCTCGGTTACAAGTGTCGATACGTACATAGGTAGTATATATGTATTTCCATAGGTTTGATTAAAAATATTTTCCAAATTTTTTGCTAACATTATTATTGCTTGAATTCTAGAATGACAAATTGTTTTTAAAATATTTTCTAATAAAACAAATTGGGATATTTTTTTTACCATTTAACGCATTGTGAACTTTCTCACTTACATTCAGACAGCGCTGGGCTTTGAGAGAGAAGACAAAACATATGATTACAAATGCGGAGGCAGTTTGATAAGCGAAAATTTCGTTATTACAGCGGCACACTGTACCAATATAACGGGGTAAGCTCTATGATATTTCGCGAAAATGGGTGATTTTTGAATACAAAGAATAGTCGAAATGTACTTAGTCGTGTGTTGCGTTGCAGTTGCATATTATTTAATACACATGTATGTATGTATGCATATATATTTGCACTTTCGCAAAATTACCATGATTTCATAAATAGTCGTAGTACATATGTAAGTAATTTCCCACATTTCAGGGAAGTACCTACAATAGCACGAATTGGTGATATAAATCTTATGGTAGATGAAAAACATTTGGCGCCGCAAATATTTCCCATACGAAGAATATACACACATCCACAATATGACGGTGTTACTAATTACAATGACATAGCGTTGTTGCAGCTGAATACGAGCGTTGAGTAAGTAACTAAGCTGCATGCATACATATTTAGTCAGTAGCGATGGAACTTTCTTTAAATTCTTTCATATTTGCGCAACTTGCACGCAGATTTACTGAGTTTGTTCGCCCAATAAAACTTTGGACACAACCTAAATTACCCCTCATTACCGCCTTTGCCATGGGCTATGGCGCCACCTCATTTGCGCGTGCGCCAACTCAACAACTCACCGACTTCAATATGACTCTTATAGCGAATGATGAATGCAATCAGCTTTTGCCACAATTGGATGAGGTGCCGCGTGGCATAATTTCAAGTCAAATTTGTGCTGAAGATTTTGTAATGCATCGCGATACTTGTCAGGTGAGATACACTGGAGGAAAGTTGTATATACTCAAATTGCATTTTCGTTTTAATTGTCTTCCAGGGTGATTCCGGCGGCCCGTTGCAGTACAACATTAGAGGTAAACGACGCAGAAATCGAGTGCATTATCACTTAATTGGCACCACCTCGTTTGGGCTACTATGCCGCAGTCCAAATCCGGGTGTTTATACGCGCATATTTTCCTACCTTGATTGGATTGAGCGCACGGTCTGGAATTCGTCTTAAAGCTCAATGGGTTTAGACATAGTTTACGTAACTTAACTTAATTTAATATTTTGGCCAACCTGTTATATGTGAAAATGTGTGTTGGCGGTTAGTAAAAAGAGTACAAATACAGTATGTAAAAATAGTTTTAGTGCTAAATAAAAGTCTATTTTAACTTATGAAAATACATAATTTTTGCCAAAAGATGCCTTTACACATATTTTATGTATACATTTTACCACAAAAACAACTTAACAGCAATTCGTTTCGGCCTGTTTGAAAACTTAAATTCAATTAAAATTATAAATTGTACAACATTTTACAATATACTACAGATGTGAAACGAACAACAATAAATAAATTTTTATACATTTTTAAAGTAATTGCCACCTGTTTAAAAATTAGAAATTAAATGAAGTACGATGGTATGGACGCGAAACAGAAGAGGCTTATGAATACTTTTTATACAATACCCAAGAACCCAAGAACAACACCCTTTCTCTTCTTCTTTTGACGCCCCATTTTTTAAAATTAAATGAACGGTGCAGATCTTTTATGCGGAACAAAAAAATGTCTTCGCGTATTATATATATAGATATGAATCTACATTAGGGTGGTGCAAAAACAGTATAGACGGAATTGTAATATTCTCACCACATAGGATTTTTCTATATCGAAAAAAGTATATCTCTATTTTTTTATTTTGAAATCAAAAAATACTTAGAGGTCGCTCAAAGCGCTCAAAGTTTTTCATGTATTTTTATATGGGAAAAAAAACTTTTCGTTTTGGTAATAAAGAAAATTTGCAAATTTTTCAACAATTTTTTTGCCTTAAAATGCTCAATATATGTTGAATTTATATAAAATCTGTACACGAAAATATTTCTATTGCTCCAAAGAGTCTCTATCCCGAAAATAAAAGTTATATCTGCAAATCATAAGCTGCTGGAGCACGTTAATGGCTCAAAATTGACCCCAAAATAGGACAATATTTACCGTTGCTTCTAGGACAGACACCGAATCGGTTACTTACATAACTGTGTCTGTCGATAGGCTAGGAATTTTATCTGTGAAATGCCACACATTTCTTTGAAATCGCTTCATTAGTTCTCGTGCAATAAGCGTTTTCATGAAGCTATGTATATATGTATATGTATATATGTATAAGTATGTATTTTTCAGTTGGCTTGAAAACAAAACGAAAAAGTTAGCTGAACATTTTCAAGACATGAACCAAATTAGGTAAGTGGATTTTGAATAGGTGGAAAAATAAAAAGCTCACACGTACAGTGTATGTGAATCCACATGTCCACATATATTCCACAGCTGTACTAGTATAAGTCTGCATTAGTGAGAGAGTATTGGTTAGTGAAAAATCCCCCCTGGAGTAAATCGAACTGGTTCAGAGCTTGCACCAAACTAGCTTGATCAGGAACGGTTCTTGTTTTCGGTCTATCCCAAATCAATGTTTTCATTTGGTTTTTTTTTTTAACATAGCGATGTCCTTCGAAGTGCCAATTACGCGTCTCTGCAGAACTTCTGAATTCGTTCGGAACTTTATATACTTAATTTTTAACCAACTTCAAGAAAAGGAGGAGGTAATCAATTCGTCCGAAAGTAGTTAGCTACAAGTTAGTTGACTTCCAATGCAGAGGAAACCAGTTCTCACTATTTTACGGTCATCGCCCTTCAAAAGTAGTTAGTTACGGCCAAGGAAATAGTTAATAAATAGTTACCCCTAGTCGAATGCTAATTAGTTAATAGTTAGCTACAAACTAGTCACATTTCCCGCAGGGTAGATGCGGACGCGTTTTCTTGAAAATTTAACAATTATTAATAACAAGCGCAAAATATCCGCAAATTTTCATAAATGCAGATACCTTTGACCATGCATAGAATAGTTCATTATAATTTTTTTTTGTAACAGCCCTGCGGGAAATGGGACTATTTTGTAGCTAACTATTAACTAACAAGTAGTCGACTAGTAGTAACTATTAAATAACTATTTCCTTTGGCCGTAACAAACTACTTTCGAAGGGCGATGGCCGCAAAATAGTGAAAACTGGTTTCCTCTGCATTACATGTGAACTAACTTGTAGCTAACTGCTTTCGGACATAAAAATCAATAAGAAAAACCAAATGTTTTTTATATTTTTTTACTTTATTTTATTACATTTCATATTTGTTTACATATTCTGCAGTAGGTGGTCCGATATTCGAACACCGTCAGACATAACTTCAGAATGATAATGTAGAATTTCGACCTTCCTTTTATTTGTCCTGAATACGAAAAAAATCTGCGAAGTTCAGAAAAAAAAAGTGTATTGAAAGCAATTTTTGTGGGGATATTTAAATAGAAACTTGTAAAGAAAACAAACTCCCGATAACGTCTGCACGACTTTACAACTAACTTGAAGTTCGTATTGTCACAGCTAGTTAAAAGTTAGTTATTTATCGAACTCCCCCAAAAAAGTTAACCAGAAGTTGGTTATTTTAATCAATTGATAATTTTTTTCTGCAGGGAGCGTTGGCTAGCATGTTGACATGATCGGGATAATGTATACATTATGGCTGCGTTTCTTTATACATTCCGGATAATCCCATTTCACAGCCGGAATAAACAGAATGCGTTTGAAATATACTTTAACATATTATCAGGTACGTTCTAAAGAATAAGTAAACAAAAAAGTTTATTCCAAACGTTCAGAATGAATAAAGTAATGCAGCCTATATATTGTTGAATCTTGTAGATATGTACATATGCATATACTTATACACATATGGTTTGCACATTGTGAAAGAACCTAAGCGGTTATCGGTAAAAAGGGCAAAGGTCATACAACATGGACCTTGATCCGTTACAATTGTTTTCCTTAATCGCATCCACTTGACACTTTATGTTGTGCACATAAATGTATAAGCATATATCATACACTCAAGCGATAGTTGCACTTGACTCGCATTATTTGTGTTTCTAAAGTACATATGTATATGCACATGTACAAAGAGATCACTACAGACATAAATATGACCATACATATATACATATGTACGAACGATGTACACCCGAATAATTAGATAATAAAAACTTGTAAATAAAAATATGGATGTGTACCAACGTACACACTCATACGCACATACATACATACCCAGTAGAAGTCTTAAGCATACAACATAGCTGTTGGTGGCATGAGCTTGCTGCTGTGTATACATGCCAGTATAAATGAACCTTCATTTCCATTTAACACGCGTGGTTTCTCAGAGCGTATGCGTACTCTAACCATACACTTGTACCACTGCTGTATGCATATGGCTGTATTAATCTTTCAAACATACAAAAATGCATTAATGGAACAGTATTAAAGCATTCTTGCAAGATATGTATCCCTATATGTAAATGCTACTTTTCTGATACATTTTAATATACGGGGACATACAAACAAGTAGCACTTGCATGTGCAAATGCACATCTTGTAAAAGCCCGTTTGTGCTGAAAATAGTATCGCACAACACGTCCATTCACTAGAATTTTAGTACAAGACTAAAAATATTACAAAAATTCCACTTCAAATTTATCAAGAAATGGACTTAAAACAACGTCAACGTACATTCGTTTGCAATTCGCTAGAATTTGAATTTATTCGTGGAAATTTATGACTACGCATGAATTGTTCACACTAATTCACTCATATAGCAAGCATCCTTCAAGAATGCATACAACCGATTTCTACTGGGTATATAAATATATACTACATTTGTACATAGATACAAACATGTGATGTAGAATTAAGTCTAAAGCGCTGGTTATACTTACATTGCAAGTGCAGGGCATAGAGAAGCAGCGCATGTGAAGCACTGGTGTAATTATACTCGGCATAGAGCGCATAATTTTCCAGAATCAGCTGTTCAGTGTAATCAGTTAGTCTGTTCCAGTACTCCAGCATTTAGTTGGGAAAACATAACTTAAGAATGCTTATTCGTAGCTTAAATGAAGTCGACACTAAAGTTAGTTGCTGCTTTTTGTCATAATTTTCAATGAAATGGCGGCAACTATTTAACTTTATAATTGACTTTGTTTCGAATATAAATATGCCCCAATGTACATATGTACTTTTCAGTAATGCCTGTAAAACTGATGGGTACTGGAACAGACTAATGAGAGCAATGAGATTCTGATGAGATCTCTCTTTGAAAATGTCACATAGCGAAAAATCAAAAGCGTGCTAAACATATCTGATGCAAAATAAAAATATGAAGAAATAACAAGCAAAAACTAATACTTAATAATTTAGGCCTCACTAGAAGAGCTTTTTACTATAATTCATATTTACATATTTTTTGACTAGCCCTATGAGATTTGCTAAACTCATTCAGAGTATTACTTTTTCGTGATTTCATAAACTATTATTCTGTTGCCGAATTAAGTTTTGCTCAATGAATATTGTGGCCATATGATTGGTTCAATCCAGTCCAAATATTTTGCTACATTCGTGTAAATTCCCGGAGAATTAGTCGCACACCCCAAGCCAAATGAAGTGACACCAATTATGTAAGGAACCGATTCGTACTCATTAGGTAGGTGTAGTACTAATGGACCACCGGAGTCACCCTTGAAGGTTAAAAGGAAATATCTTTAGTAACCCCTCACAGTGGTCTTGAAACAATGATAGGTATGACTAAAATGCCAACCAAAACTGCTTGCATACCTGTTTTGGAAGGCACCCATACACCAATATGCAGTTGGAATTAAAATCATATCTGCTCCTATGCCTAAAATATTGTCAAATGAAAATTTGGAAAAAATTTAACTGCAATTGTTAGTATTTCTTGTTCAACAGAGTATTCTAAAGTTATCGTTTTGTATATTAGTGTAAAAGAAAAACAGATAGTATTTTTCTCGATGATAATATTTCTGGTGTAAGCTATTTGATTGCACATCATGTCTTCTATAAGTCATCCGCAACATAAGTGTAATCACGAAGAGAACAGATTTAAAGTGTGCGCGCCTTGTGGGAGAAAGATTAAATTCGGATCGTCAAAACCTTCGGAATTTAATATAACCGGAAAATTGGTGTGTCTTATTAAAAAATACGTTAGTGAAAATTTTAGATTGACCAATTCGAAGTTCCCATTAGGCATTTGTGGTACATGTCGTAGGGTTCTCTGTGACCGAGATATGGATATACCAAATGCAACGCGGCCTCTTCCAAACATGCCTAACTATGAAGATTCGACAAAAGAAACAAGAACAAGTTCATGCTCTTGTTATATCTGGCTCACTGCTCGGGCAACCAGCCATCCAAAAGTTATACAAGGGAGAGCACATACCTTAAATGTATTGAGTGAAAAAAGCTCCACCAATGGGTTGACTGCTTTGTCAGTTGGGTCAGAATTAAAAAATCATGTAAGTAAACTCGCTAAAGCCTTCCGAAGCACAGAAATGTCGGAAACATTAAAAATTCACGTGCTTCTAAATCATTTGGAACATAGTCTGCATTTTTTAGGCAACGACGGCTTCGGAATGTGGTCGGAGCAAGCTGGAGAATCCATTCATGGCGTATTTTTAAGATTTTGGCTCAATTATAAAGTTAATTCGATTGACGACCCTAAATATATAATCAATTAAAAAAAAAACTGTCGTTGAATTTTCATCAAAACACATATGAATTTATATAAAATAATATTTTATATTGACTTTGTAAATTTATAAAATTTATGCAATAAGAATTATTAAAATATGGAATTATGTAATATTATCTCTTGAATAACTAAGTTAAAATATTTTATGCTTATAACGTAAGAAAGTGTTATAATTATATTACCATAGACGATTATATAACTGGATTTGGAAAGTTCTACATCAACATTTTATAATATTTTAAGCATAGGAGCAGATGGAATTTTATTTTCAACGAAATTTTGATCTATGATTATGTACAAAGACAGTTATGTAAGCCGTTTTGGTTGGCATTTTAGTCATAGCTATGGTTGCTTCAAGACCACTGTGCCCTTCTTCATAAATAAAAAGAATATTTCACATACTTGGCATGTATCTCTGTTGAATTGCAAATCTTTTGCACACAAATGTGTATCCATTAGGCCAGTTGGCAACGCATCCAGATCGGCAAAGAAGAATTGGCACAGAAACGTATCGACGGTGGAGAGATAAGCCTTCAACAGCTGATCGGATGGGCGGCCACCTGAAAGTACATACATACATACATATGTGAATATTACTGAGAATTTGGGTGGTCATCATAAAACGATAATTCACAATTTTTCACCGCTCGCTATTTACCAAAGACAGTATCTCCATACCCAATGGCAGTTGCATTTTGATTGACTAAAGGCAAATGATCGGCAATACATGCTGGCTGCGTTTCTCCGCTATAACAGAAAGAAATTCAAATTCTTTTAAAAACATACGTTTTTTTAACTTACGGTTGACTTTTCAATTTTATCAACGCAATATCATCATACGCTGTGGTAGGCTCATATTTTGGATGCACAACAACCTTTTCGATTTGTGTTGGTTTGAATTCGGTATTAGTCAAGTTAACACCACCGGGGAGAACCACAACCGGCGCGCCGCTATCAAAATTGTTATATATTTTTTTTTTAGTTTTTGGGGATGAATTCAAATTTTTGAACGTTAATGATATACCATAGCGCAGCAACTTACCCTCCCACGGAAGCGCAATGTGCAGCAGTTAAAACCCAATTGTGGCTTATCAATGCGCCGCCGCATTTATATTCGTAAACATTCGATTGCGGTGTAGCCCAACCAAGAGCGACCTGCGGGAGGAGATGCAAATGTACATTTTTGTTAGTAGAAGTTTTTAAGTAAGGTGACCAACCGTCCCACTTTAGGATACGATACATTTGTTGGGCGATTGCACCGGCACAAAAAAGGTGGTGTGTGCTTTTAACCAGACCCACATATCGACTATATTTCGACCCGCTGAATCCGAAATTGATGTCCGTTTGACTCGTACACCCTCAAAATTTCAAGTAAATTGCAAAAAACTGAAAAAATTACAAAAAATTCTAAATTTTCACAATTTTATTTAAGGAATGGAAAAATCAAAAAACAAGAATAAGGAGTTTCCAATCCTCATACCGAAGAAAATTTTGTCTCTAAGCACTTTTCGCTTTCTGCAATAGTCAGCAAGCATGTAGAGCAGAGGTGTGTGGGTTAAATTTTTTTTTTTTTTTAAATTTGCCATTTTTGCCATTTTTCGACACTTCAAATCAAAATCAAAAAAAAACCTTTAACATGAGTTCGGCCCCTTTTTTTAGATAAATTAGGACCAAATTTTGGTGAACCGTATTATTATTTTGCATTTATCATATGAGACCATGAGGAAAAATGATATACAAATAATAAATGCGGTATTTTACTGAAAAGTTCATTGTACCTACGTGATGCCACATATGAAAAGAAAATTAAAAGGGATGCCTCGGGGTATTACCATTTTGATTCTAGTAATGAATTCTAAAGTGCACCTCAACTTTTTTTGAATTGTCAGTTAGTCTACACTGCCGCTCATGGCCTCATATTATATCTAGTGTGTTATTGTTCCAATGAATAAAATAATTTGTTGACGAAATTTCATTGTGTCCTCCTTTCCTTTGTAAATAAGTTGGTCACCTTATTTTAGGTAGCATTAGGCAAGTACATCACATTTTAGCTGATAATTGCAAGCATATTTTTTAATAAATTATTAAAAGTAGAATTTAATGACCTTTGAAAATTATACTTTGAATAATATTCCCGGCATAACTTACCATAAAAGGAAACTCGTTTGCTTCAGTTGGCAGACCATTGGTCACTTCCGGACGCGGAGTGGTGAAGTCAGTACAAGCTGTATTTAAATTATAGAATCTAATAACAAACACATGCAAAGGTAATAATCAGTAATTAATATGCACCGATTTCGGCGGGTCGTTGCACGCGACAACAAACAAATTGCTCGCTCCCTTCAAAGTAACACGTTTTTGGCCTCACTTTCCTCTCATTCAAGGCTGTTCCACAATCTACTAAACTGCGACAAACTCCCGGCTGACCATTTGATAAAGTGCAGTTGCTCTTGAAGTCATCATTCTTGGGGAATGTTATCGTATCCGGGCGGGTAGCTGCAAAGTAAACCAAAAATTATATTGAATCCAAAAATAGTACATTTTTATCAATTACATACACATATATGTATGTATGTACATTCTACGATTTAAAAAAAATAAGTTAATAAATTTAAGTGCGTATATGTATGTATTTTGATTGTTCGTATTTCGCTATATGGACCTTTTACGGCTTGTAAATGAATGAAGAGCAACATCACTGAAATCTTTAGCATTTCACTTCAAGTTCAATTCGTTTTTATTTTTGTTTAATACTGCTGTGCTTAAGTATATATTCTTTTCAGTTTCTCCACAACTCAGACGCCTTTGCAAACGCGCGTTTTAAATGCAACTGCGAGAGCCGGCATCAAGTAAAAACTTTTTAGCCATTAATATTCGTTGCATCTCTCTGCTATTATTCTCCAACCGTGAATAGAAACATAGCAGCAGGCAAACAAATCGTATTGGATGCTATATATCTACATTCATACAGTGAGCGTCAGCCAAAATTGTACTGTACCTTTTTTCCATATTTTGAAAATATTTTATTGTTTTCAAATTTTATTAAGTTTTAATAGTTCATACTACACAAAGTCCATAAAAAGGTTTCTAACTTTCACTAACTAAGGTTTCAAAATTTCAAAGTTTTTATTCAGAATTTGTAGAGTTGTTTGGGTAAGCAATTTTATGACCCACTCAATTTTAATACAATAAAGCGCAAGCTTGAAGTCGCTACAGAATATCGCTGATTTTCGGGAATTTTTTTATATCAAGGTTGTTGTGTATTTTCTTCCATATCACAAATAATTTTTAGCAAAAAAAAACCGACTTCAACTCTCATATAAAAAAAAAAAATATATATATATATCTCATGATCCGCTGATCGGATCTTAACCAGATTAGTATGGGACCACCTCTGAGACACTACCTTTCCGATGACAAAAGAATTATCGAAATCGGTTGACGTGGTCCAAAGTTATGTGGTAACATACATAAAAAAAAAAACAAAAAAAAAATATTCCGACGAACTGATAACCTCCTCCTTTTTTGGAAGTCGGTTAAAAATAGAGTTAATTCGTGCATCATATGGAAGAAAACACCGCCAACAAAAAAAAAAATCAAAAAATGAACGGTGTTGTTTTATAGCATCTGCAAACCTGCACTTTATTATTCTCTAAAAAATTCTAAAACCAAAATGTGTGAAATTTTGATGAAAATTCGACGATATTTTTTGTAGTATGAACTTTATTTTTACTGAAAATTAATACAATTAGGAAAAAATTTCCTGTATGGTTTTGACGGACGCTCACTGTATGTATTATGCATTTAATATTTTGCAGCTGTAAAGCTTTCAAAGCAAACAGTTGTTAAAGATGTGCCGGTTTTCAGAACTTGATTAAGCTTTGCCCACAAATCTATGCACCAAATCAAAGGCAGGCTATTCAAAAAGCTTCAAAACTTTATGTACACAGGAAAAAACTGAAATTTCAAAAAAAATCACACTTGCCACACAAATAGAAATTAAACTTTATTATGTGTTTCATTTTCGCCCGAAACCGTCGACTTTTCTTTTTGCGCTTATGTGTACTCATTATAAGACTTTCTTTTTGATAAAATTAAAAATATATCGTAGAAAAATTAAAGGAGTTCCCTTCTTAATTATTCTTAATTAAATCAATAAGAAATCCTTAAGTAATAAGAAGGGTTCATTCGAACTTGCGTTAAGAAGAAAAATATTTTGCAGTTGAAAAAAAAATTGGAAGTAATATGTCATTTTGCCCGCAGCTCTCCATAGCGTAACACCGAAGGTTCGAATTCTCGTGCAGGCGAATTTTTATTTTTTTTTAATATTTTTTTTTTTTTATTCATGTACAGTGGTCGAACAAATACCACATTTAGACAAGTTTTAACATAATACTTTTTTCTATTTTCTATTTGTATTTTTTTTATACAACTATAGAATTCTAGTAAAACAAAACTCTAGTTTCAAATTGCTAAAGATTTGCGTCGATTTCTTAGATTTTTTTTTGTTGGACATGTTACGGTTTCCTTCCACATAAAAATAAATTGTGTTTAATCGTTATATGGAAGTAAATAAAGTGAAAAATTCTAAAAAATCAACTGCAATTTTTAGCCATATGAAACTTGTACTTTATTCTACTTTTTTATATATATTATATACAAAGTCCCAAAGTTATTATTTTTTAAAACTGTTCTAATTAATGATGGGAAATTTGAGAAAACTCAGTTGAAGCGCGATAGAAAAATGCAACAGAAGCTTTATGGCATCTTTAAAGAATAACTGGCCCCTTCATAGGTACTCGCGCCAAAGCTTTTTAAAGCTCTATGTACAGTTTTATATAGGGCTGTCACAAAATAAAAGCTTTCGCTGGCCAGCAAAGCTTTAAAGCTTCCTATAGCTTTAGAAAACATTGGTCACACCAAAATTTTAAAGAGAAAATTTCCTTTTTTATCTGGCAAGGCGAATGCTAACTTGACGAAACAACTCCCCAGTGAAAAAGCATAACATAATATCTTAACTTTGCAGTAGATTCATTTATAACAAGGGAGGTTTGTCACCAAGCATTTCTTAAGGCAAAGCAAAACTTTAAGTTGTACCAAAAATCGGTGCCGTGTGGCTAAGGAATTCATCAATATTTCTTAAAAATTTATATAATCGTTCTTTAACAAAAAAAACTTGGTTTCTCAAAAAAAAAAAAATGTAGAAAAATGGGCGTGGCACCGCCCACTTATAGCATATATGTGTATCTAACTCCGACTATGAACTGCGATTGTATTTTTAACCGACTTCAAAAAAAAGGAGGAGATTATCAGTTCGTGGGAATATTTATTTATTTTTTTTTTTTTTTTATGTATGTTACCTCATAACTTTAGACCACGTTAATCGATTTCGATAATTCTCACAATTTTTAATCGGAAAGGTGGTACCTCAAGTGTGGTCCCGTACTAATTTTATTTACATCCAATAATTAAGTCGTGCATAAATTAACGATAATCTTTCATTTTAAATGAGAATTGAAATCGGTTTTGTTTTTTGCTTACAAATTATTTGCTACATTCGGTAACACAAATTATTTTTGGATACTTACTGCTGGTATAATCAAAACCCTTTCTGAGCAAAAGTTTTGTGGTTTTTCGTGACCTTAAATTGGCTGACATTATGGTGATGAGAACTAAGATCCCGTCATGGCAAATAACTTTAAAAGAAAACAATTTTATCCTTTAGACAAAAACATCGATCAATTATTTTCACTTTAACATTCGACTCTAAGTGCCGAAGATATGTCGATGATAAAAGGCGACCCCTTCGAATCGAAATATTTACTTGGCATAAGTTTAATATTTTTTATAGCGCTTCAATTTACTAATAGTAGGGTAGCAGGAACTGAACTCTGATGGGTAAGTAATATAATGGGATACTTGAGGTCAACGAACTTTGGAAAAAAAACATAATTGTTTCCCCGAGGCAGGAACATCAGTATTTCCTTCTTAACGGTCCGAGTGTAAGAGCCGAAGATATGGCTAAAAATAGTTTCGAAATTATCATTCAAAATTAATTTAGACTCAGGGTATATGGCTAACTTTTTCTTCTCATACAGCCTAATGTACCGTGACGTTAAATATTTAACGCAAACTACTCCGAATTTGACTAAGAAGTTTCTCCTCGATAAAATCAAATAGGATATTTTGCATTGATGTTGCCGATATGTGTGTAAATATCGATGGTCTTAAGCAATAACGACTCAATTCAAAATTCGAAAAATAAAAACTCTTCCTATTTTTAAGTGGCTCATATCTCTAATTCTTGTATAATACATGGAGAATCCTCACGATTAACTGCAGTAATCCTTACTACTTACGTTAGTAAGAATTATACACGGATTAGAGACATAATTTTTTGAATTGTGTCGTTATTGCAGAGAACCACTGATATGTATGTATGTACATATTTGCAGCTTTTAAAAAGTGTTAAAATTTATTATCACAGCATTTTATATAGACTTCATTTAGGAACTTACCATAAAGTATTAAAAATAGGAGCGCTTTTAATACTTAACACACATACATATGTATGCTTGCATGTAAACACGTAAATTATTCGATAGTTTAACATTCGAGAATAGTTAACAGTTAAGGCGCTTTCAAGCTGCTGCCTATAATGAAATTACTGGCATAAATACCTGCGAATGAAAAGCGACGAATACTTCCTTATTAACCAAGCACGTTTAATACCAAACACTTATCGTAATTTCATATCGTAATTAACTCGTTTTATAGAAATCAATATTACGGTACTTTCTATAATTGTAAGAGCTTTGAATCAGAGTTTTTCTGCCTGAACTATAAAGTGCTTTATATCGTTATCTGTACTGAAAATTGTAAGAATTTAAATAACGAGTCCTTTGAGCAGTGATGTTAAGTGAAACTTTTAAAGCACTGCATAGAATGCCTGACTGTAAACAACTGTAACAATAACAGACTGTAACGCAAGCAAAAGTTATTTCCCCTTTTTGAAATGTAAATAGACCATCAGATAAACAAATGTACAGATACATATTAACCTATGCTAACTTACGTTTGTAATTTTTATATGTCTGTTAAAGGTTGTAAGAATTGATAGCTTTACAATTCCAACTATTTAAGACAAACGTTGTTGTGCTGTTAACGGCGACTGGTGTATTTGCTTAAAACATCTTTGGAAATGGCTCAATAACCAGGAAGACTATGATGGTATATGTGATACAGTCTTCAAGGTTCTATGTCGCTATTGGGAAAGAGCCTTCTAGCCCATGATCAAAAATAAAAGCCTGTCATGGGACTAAAGCTTAAAATTTGTATAGCTTATCAAATGAGTTAAAAAATCATCGACCCAGTAGAGACTTTTTCGATGTCCTGGGAGAAACCCTGCTGTCCTATTAAACATATAAAGATCAAGATTTACTAGAAATGCGTTCAAATATGAGAAGCATATCGAATTTTTCGCATTTCCAAAGTTTTCGTGGACGATTTGGTAGACTTAATTGAAGTTATTAACCAAAATTTCAACTTGGAGTGAGGCAAGTCCTTCCGTTATCGGATTTAGAAAATTTTTTGCAGAGCACGTTTTTATGACCAAATGAATCTACCGAGTGGGAGTCTTGTTTTGTGCGTCGTAGTTGGAAAATAAGGCGCCCCCTTATGTACATACATACATACAAAACAAAATCAGAACAGTTAGTCCTTAAAGAAATTTTACACCACAGATTTTGTGTACTCAACTAAAAGATAGTAAAGTGTAATTAACATATTTACCTAACAGCAAATGTAGGTAATGTATTGAGGGAGTGTAACTAAAATATATTACTATTCTCTGCTTTAACAGAAAAATTCTCACGCACTCTCCCCGAAC